TGGTCTTTTTGAGACAAGGTCTCCCTGTAGCCCCAGCTGTCCTGGAACTCACTATGTAGACCAGGCTGGCCTTGAACTCACAAAGATCCGCCTGCCTCTGCCTCCCAAGTGCTGGGATTAAAGGCGTGGGCCACCACGCCAAGCGAAAATTGTACTTACTTTGGTTTGCAGCAGATGCTTGGGTGTATGCTTGTTGAGTTTTTGCTCTTCGAGGTTTAGATAGCTTTGTGACACTGAAGTTTTGTGTTTCACTGCATTTGGGAAAGGTTTGGCGTTACTATCTCCAAATGTGTTGCCTGTACCTGTAGCTTTCTTTTCTCCATGAGAGACTCTGATGGCATGGAAGTTGAACCTTTCAGTATTGTCTGATAAATCTTTGGTGCACTATTTCTTTTCAGTCTTGTTTCATTATGTTCATTCTTCAGATTTTCCCTTTTTATATTCATCTATCTTCAAGTGCGCTGAGCGGTCTTTGTCATTTCCTTTTTATTACTGAGAACAAGCAGTGAAATTTTTATTTCAGATATTACATTTTTCCTCAATTCTAAAATTTCCATTTCATTCATTTTATCTTTTTATACCTACGCTGAAAATATATTTATTTTTTCATTTGTTTATAAGTATTCACTTTTATCACCTAAAGAATTACAGTAATATCTGCTCTGAAGTTGTTTTTTATTTGAGATCATTTCAATGTTTTCTACTTTCCTTGAGAATCAATCACACTCTGGTTCTTTGCATACCAATTAATTTCAGATTCTGAAACTTTTGAATTTGAAATTCTGGATTCTGTTTACATCCTCTGGTCAAGATTGATTTTTATTTTAGTGATCAGAGAACTCTATTTCTGTCTTTCCTTTAGTGATGATGCTTCCCAATGTCTGTTCAGATTCAAAAGCCATTGGTATGCTGTTTGGATCTGATCCTCAGTACATATTACACAGAGGCTGGTCTGGGTCTGAGATTTATATCCTAGTTCAAAGCCTTGGTGTGAAAGAGTGACAGTAACAAATAAAACCAAAGACTTCTGTGTTCTCTGGCGCACACACTGTCTTCGTCTCATTTCTCTACTTTGCGGTATTTTATTCCCCTGTGTATGTTACATAGTGACCCTATTAAGCCAGAAAATAAAAGGAATAGAAAATAATTTCTAGGGTATCACTGGTTTCCTATTGCTTATTTCTTAAATTTTGAATTTGTTTTCATTCATTCCTTCTTAATCATTTCTTAGATCTGAAATAGATGCTTTTTTTTTTGTATTTTTTAAATTATTTATTAACCACATACTTAGAAGAAGCATTTCATTACAACAGCATTGACATATTTAATAACAATTTCCTGAGCTAAGGTGCATCTCTTTCAAAATTGGCTGTAAAATTTTAGGTTTACAGTTGAATTTTGAGACAGGGTCTCCCTGTAACCTCAGATGGC